CTAGAAGGAAGTTTGTTGAGTGTAAGGAGGACTTAGCCATTTCCATAGCTCCTGTATATACAGGACAGTCCTCAGAATGGAGTACATTCTCAATACATGTTTGCTGAATGAATGAATGAATGAATGAAGTTAGGGTGTATTCACCCTAACTATTCCAAAACCCTGGCTGTTCCAAAACAGGAGAAAATCCCTAAAGGCTTTGGCTGAGTCTTTGAAATGTAATTTTCTTGCAATTTTCTTGCCGCAGACCTCCTTTTCTCATTGTGCTTGGTTCAGACTGAAGCTACTTATTTTTCCCTTTCACAGCTTTTGCAATTTCCCTAAGCATATTTCAACTGACTAATGGAAGTGAGGGAATCCAAAAATACTCACTAATGTGCCACCTGTAGACAATCGAGAGCACTGTAAACTTTTCAAAGTGGTTTCTATATGATTGCTTTACCCAAATAAGGCCATAGAACTCACGTTTGGATGCAATGTGAAATTCCTCTACCATCTCTGGTATATGATTTCTCTTCTTTTTCTACCTTTCTGCTATTTCTACGTCTGACAAGAATGTACAGTATGCAAAATGCCAAGATGTCACTACAAGAAATGTTTTTTAATATAAAGAAAAGCTTCTTCTCAACACCTTTTAGCTCAAAAACAGGCCTTCCTCTCACCACACATGAAAATAAATTCCAGATGTATTAAAGATCTAAATGTAAAATCCAAATGTAAGACTGTGAGAAAAGAAAAGAGTAAATAGCATGATAAACTTCCATAAAAAGGCTTTCTTAAGCAAAACATAAAAAGCACTCCCCAAATCACAAACAATAAAGGGAAAATGAATTTGATTAAATTAAAATAAAAAACTAAAGGAGAAAATATTTGCAACATACTTATCAGAGAAAAGATTAGTATCTAGAATATATGAAAAACTGCTATAAATCAACAACAAAGCGACAAAAGTAGTAGCAAATGGGCAAGGATGTAAACCAGTTCACATAACAGGAAAACACAGTGGGCAATGAACATATGAAGAGACGCTTGATTTCTACCATGATACATACAAAATACATGTCAAAAATAACAATGAGGCTCTATGCTACCGGCAAAAAAAAAAGTCAGACAACATCAATATTAAAGAGAATATGGGGAAATGGAAATTCTCAACAATGTGAGTCACAATGTAAGTTAGTATTACTATATTGGAAGGTATTTAGCCAATTTCAAATAAAATTAAAGTGTATGCATGATGTGACTCAGCAGTTCTACTTTAGATTTATATTCTAAAGAATAACTCACATGTGCTCACAAGGAAACATATGTAAAAGTGTAAAGCAGGATTTTTTGTAGTAGTGAAAAATGTGGGAACCTTTTTTCTTAGGGTAGTTTCCAGGTCTTGCATGCAAGTACAATTGGTCCTCGGTATCCATCACAGACTTGGGCCTACAGAGCTCGATACACAGGTGTTCAGCCCCCTTATATACTTTAAATCATCTCTAGATTACTCAGAGTACCTATTACAATGTAAATGCTATGTCAATAGTAGTAATATTGTATTTTATAGGGGATAATAACAAGAAAAATGTCTGAACATGTGCAGTATGGATGCATTTTTAAAACAATATTTTCAATTTATGGTTGGCTGATTCCACAGATGAGGAGCCCAGTGATAGAGAAAGCCAACTGAAGTTTACTTTGGAAACTGGCCTTAGGAAACAAAGGTGAGGATATTGGGAATAGTCAGAGGGAAAAAGAAAAGCCAAGGATGTGCATCTAGCTGGTCACATTGTAGGGAACTCTCGTGGGGCTGGATCCCCCTAGAGATTCCTCTGGGAACTACATGGAAGCAACATGGAATTGTTGGCCCAAGAATAGAAAATGAACACATTTATCCATGGGCTGCCAGCTTCCACTGGTCAAGGACTATGTCATAATTTAACTCCCCCTCCCCAGAATTGCAATAAATCAACCAAATAATTTAAAAAAAGAATTTCACTCTTTCAAATTTCCATGTTATACATAGGTCAGAATGGTTAGCAGGACACTGCTGAAGTGCCCAGATTTTTCTGTTCTTCATATGCTCTGTATTTTTTAATTTTATTTTCTAGGAGAGTTCCTCAACTTTATTTTAAATTGCTTCTTTCTTTTACATTGGTCCAGCACATCTTTAATTTTCTACAAGCACTCTCTTTTCTCTAATTGCTTCTTTTTTTTCAATGACAACCTGTTCTTGTTTTATAGATAATAATAGTTTCTTGTGTCTCTCTGAAGTTTTTAATTATCTTTTATTTTATCCTCTGATAGTTATCTCTGTTCTCTGGAGTTATTTATTCTTTCTTCTTGGCTCTTTGTCATGGTGAAGATTTTACTCAAATGCCTGATAATATTTATTACTGGGTTTTATTTAAAAGTGAATCTCTTAAATAGCTGATTAGAGAGACATAACAGCTTCAGTTTTAAAATCTATGAACATAGCTTTAGGTTATCAGGAAGTTCGCCCTCAAATGTCAGATAAATGGGAATTATACCATTTCTGTATGCAATAGCCCTCTGCCTGGAGAAATTCCACATGGGTAGATATTTTATACTCAACTTTTGAGAGTGTTCCATTTATGGACTTTAATGAACCCACGTTTTTAAGCCTTATGTGTCACTCCTGCTCTGGGGACACTGATCTCTGCCTGACATGTTGGCTTTCTTGCAGACTACAGCTTCCCTCGCTCTACTCTCTTGTCACTCTTCCTCATGTTGTCCTTTCTCTTCAGAAACTTATTGAACTCTTTCTGCCACTTTGCTTTGCAATTATGGCCTTTTTTTCCCCTCTAGGTGAGTTGACTCTTACATTTCTACATGTGACAATGCATTTGGTCTTTTAAGTTATTTCTTTGTATTTAATACTTCTTTTTTGGTGTTTTACTACAACTGATGTTTCACTTTATAATCTGTGGTTGCTTTTATGGAATGTGTATAAAATTGTGTGTTTAAAAGTCCATTCTGATAAATTTTGCTTTTAGTTATTTGTAATCTATTTATATTTTTGTGATTATGTATATATTTGAATTTTTAAAACCAGCTTATGCATAATTTGTTTACCATTTTTCTTTATTGGTTCTTTCTTCTGATAATTTTTAAATCCAGCCCACTTTCTTATTTATTTGAAGCTATAGGTTATTCTTCTATTTTTTAGTAGTTTCTCTAATTTTGTGTTTGAACATATTCACACTTAATTCCCCACCCCACCCCCTCTCAGGTTTGCTTTTGGAGACAGGTTCTTGCCATGTAATTCAGGGTGGTCTTGGACTTACTAGGTAGCCCAGGCTGGCCTTGAACTCAAAGTAATCCTCCTGCCTCAGCCTCCCAAGTGCTGGCATTACAGGCGTGTGCCACCACATCTGGCTAATTCCTCTCTTTTCCTACAAAATAAATGTTGATAAATATATCAGTTCTACCTTTGGACATTGTAATAGTTTAAGCACTCATTGAAACTTCCTTTTTCTTTTTTGAGTTTCCATTTTACTTTTTTTTTTTTGGTACTGGGGATGGAATTCGGGACCTTGTACTTTCGAGGCAGGCACCAGAACCACTGAGCTAAATCCCCAGCCCCATTTTACATTTTTAATACAAAAATGTTTTTAACAGTCAACAATTAAATTTCTCTACTTTTTTTTTTTTTTTTTTGGTACCAGGGATCAAACTCAGGACCTTGGGCTTTTGAGGCAGGCGGTGGCACTGCTGAGCTAAATCGTCGGCCCCTAAATTTCAGACTAATGTCTAAGCTATCATCAAATACAGCTTCTAATTATTATTTTAGTGAAAGTTTGGCAGAATGAATTCTCTTAATTATTACATTGAGAATTTATTGATAAAAATTTAAATGCACAACTTTTTAATTGAAATATAACATACATGGGGGAAAACTACAAAAATGTATACATTTGATTGACCTTATTTATGGAAGTTATATTCTATAAAATCACCATGAATACTGCATTAGTGCACACTGAACCATTACTCCTGGGCGAAATGCAGGATTAGGCTCCTATGAGCCTCTGGTCACAGCATTTCCATCAAACAATATAACTTTGTGTTCTGTGTGTTTCTATTTAATGGCACTTTGTTTAATATATACTGTTGATTCATTAATACTGAACTTACTGCCAGCTGCAGTATAACTCATACTTGGATGGACCTTAACTAACACACGTATTTTAGAGACAGATAAGAAGCACCTGACTCTTCTCTTTTTCCGTGACAGCCCTAGGTGGGTGTGATTTGGCTAACAGCTGCAACCCTCCCCCTTGCTACCCTTTAGCTCTTATGGTCCCCTGAGAAGGGACTGGAACAGCTTGCCTCAGTATCCTCCCACAACCCCTACAGTTGCCTGTGTGTCTGATCCCTGGGCCAGTCAGACAGGAGGTACAGCTTCGTGGTCAATTGGTGCTCCTACCAAGCTCTTGACACTGAAGAAGCAGTGGAGAAACCACCTCTAACATGGCACAGATGAGGAAGGGACCCAAGCCCATTATTAACATGTTCAACTCAAACTCCAATATGTGGTTAAAACAGGTACTCCCTCTGAAAATTCCCTGGTTTGGGTCCCACCATTTTTATTTTTTTTTTACAAAGATGCAACAGCTGTCAATAAAATAGCTCATGCCTCTCAAGGTTCCACCTACTAACTGCCATCACAGTTGTACCTGTCTGGACATCCTGCACACACTCTAGAAGATGTCTGCCCTGACCACAGCTGGTCAGATTTAAACTAAGCAGTAGAACTGAATTTTGACCAATCAATAGCCTCGGATCAGAAGGCTTGAGTTTAGACCAATTTGGACCAATCATTAGGCTTGGATTTTGACCAATCACAGGCCTACTGTGGCTATATAAACAGCATTCCTCTCAAATTCTTAGGTTGGCCTAGAAGGGCTGCCTCTGGTATAGCGACCCACCCTGTATTTCAGCACAGGTCTTATTCTAATAAATCCTCACTTAGGTGGTCCTCTGTTTTTTAGGTAGTGTGGACTTGTAACATCTTGTAAATCTCCTCAAGATTCTTGTCCTGAATAATATGGACAGAGCAGTCACTTTGAAAGAAAGAGCTATAAACACTAGGAGCTGTTAACTCTCAAGACCTCCAGAGACCAGGAGCTGAGGAAGAACAGCCACAGAGACCAGCACCAGCAGAGCTGACTGAAAACATCCAGTGTTAACTGGTGTCTACTAGGGGCATCAGGGCTGCTAGCAGAGCCACACTTTGCCAGTTCATGACTTTTATCTGAATGGAGTAAAAGAACCCTTGGTTGATTAATGACATTTTCTCTGTACAGCACATCACAGCCTTGTACATAGATAGTTAGATAACACTTCAACACTACGCTTGGAGTCCATTCCAGTGAAATCATCCTCAAAAAGCATCAAAAGGCAAACAAACAAAAAAATCAAAAGTACGGTCCTAAGTAGACTGTGAAAAAGAGAAGTTTACAACAGGAGAGCTGAAACCAGGAGGGAGTCATCCTGCCTGACCTCAGCTGGGGCCAAGTGCACCTGATGACTCAAATGTCCCCCTCCTCTTGTATGTCTGTAAATGACCACAAAGCTCAGCAAGTATCGATTTGGGTTTATAAATTTTAGCGAGTAGGAGGAATGACTGTATAGGCAACACGATGATTTTTCCTGAAAGCACATATAACAAGTTTTTCCCTTGGGCTCTGTTCCTAGGGTAACCTCTATCCTGTTTCTAACCCCATGAATTAGTCTATTTTTCACATTATATCAATAGAAGTGTGAGTTTTACACTGTTGTATGTCTGGCTTCTTTGGTTCAATATTGTTATTCACTATATTGTTGCAGGTGTAAAAGTATTGATCATTTAAAGCCTGTCAGTCTGTGCAACCAATTTTGTTGGAAGTGAGTTTGTATTCCTTGATTTTGTTGTTCATCTTTCTAAGAATTATACCTCCTCAGGTGGTTTTAGGCTTTGAATTCTCAAGGTCATTTTAAGTGGGAAGCTCTCTGCTTCTCTTCTTTCCTTACTTTGGAGTGGTGTGCTACTATCTCCCTCTATCCTCTGAGTGCTGGCCTGAACTTACAGAGGTGTTTCAGACCTCTCCTTCGCAACCATGTTGGGGAAACCCAGCCAGAAGCCTGTTAGAGACTTGGCTCTGGTTCTGCTCATGCAGCCATGTCTCTCCACCTGCCTCCTTCAGCCTGTCTTTCTGGAAGAAATTACAGGCAGTAAGTTGGCAGCATTTTAAAGCTCCTTCCAAGGAAAAGTGCCCACTCCAGCTCCTGGCTTCAGGCAGGGAGCCTGATCCTGTTCTGTGCCTGGTGTGGAGCCAGTTATTCCTTGTTTCTCTGCTACAACCCAGCATACCCTTGGTTTCTTTTTTACTCACAGTTGTGAATCTCAATTTCTCCCCCCTCCCCCTGGTTTTGCAATACTACAGGGAATTGAACCCAGGGCCTTTGCATTGAGCTATACCAGTCCTTTTTAAATATATTTCTTTTGAGACAGGTTCTTACTAAGTTGCTAGGTTGCCCAGACTGGGTTAAAACTTGCAATCCTCCTGCCTCAGCTTCCAAAGTGCTAGGATGGGGGCTGGGGATTTAGCTCAGTGGTTCTGCCACCTGCCACGCAAGCGCAAGGTCCCAAGTTTGATCCCCGGTACCAAAACAAAACAAAACAAAAACAAAGTGCTGGGGTTACAGGCATGTTCCATAACACCCAGCTACGGCTGTGGATTTCTGGTTTCAGAGATACTTGCCCTGTCTTCAATCACATCTATCTCTTTTTGGTTCTTTTTCTTATATTTGATCACTTTATCTTTGCTCTGTGTCTGAAGGTAAAGTGACTGAAGAGTGAAGGTAACTGTACTGTAATGCCTAGAATCTGCATTGTTTTGTTTCATCAGAGAAAAAGCCACCTTTATCCTGAAAAAAATAAATAAGAGGTTCATAAGTCTCCACCCATGTGGAAACTACCCAAATGTCCCTCCACAGATCAATTTATAAACAACATGTGCCATATCTATATATCAAAATACTAGTCATCCATTTAAAAAATGGGGTATAAACTGGGCATAGTGGTGCATGCCTGTAATCTCTGGGAGTCTGAGGCCAGAGGAACATAAGTTCAAGGCCAGGCCAGGCAACTTGGTGATGTAGTGACATCTTGTATCTGAAAATAAAAAGGCCTGTGGGTGTAGCTCAGTGTGAAGGCCCTGAGTTCAATCCCCAGTAGTGGGGGGAAAAATACTGATTCATGCTATAACACAGGTGAACCTTGAAAACATTACGCTAAGAAAAAGAAGCCAAATGCAAAAGGCCATATATTATATTATCCCATTGATATGAAACATCCAGAATAGACAAATTCATAGAAACAGAAGCTAATTGGTGCTTTCTGAGAGCTGGAGGGAGGCAACATCGTCGCAGACCACTATAGGGACAAAAGACAAACTCCTGAGCCTTTAACCTGTTACTCATTAAGGGGATAATTTGTGTTTTTTTCTGAGACAGTCAGGAACTCAGAGGTGCTTCTTTGCTAAAACTCATGCCTCTTCAGTTGGGTCAACAAATGCTCAATAGGTAACTAAAAGCAGAACAAAGCTTGAGTTTAATTTTTGTATCCTTTATCACCTTACATCTTGGGGTCTGGGTATGTTACTCATATAAGAAAAGTTGGCAGAACAAAGTTCACTAGCCCTGAATTTATCTAGCCTGTCACCTTTCAAGATGGAGGACACCAAGGTAAGAGTAAGTAAAGAAAGTAATTTTCAGGATGCAGGGGGACATCCGATTACCAGCCTTATAACATCCAGTTCCAGAACCTTCTACCTTGGAGTAATGCCTAGAAGTCTCCAGCCATTGTCTTAACTTGGTAGTTGCCTGGGTCCAAGGAAAAGCAAATCCTCGTGTGACTGAAACCACCACAGAGACAGTCATTTCATGAGAATGGACTCCTCCAGAGGTAGGAAACTAGGACTGAGATCCTGATCAATAGGCCCCTTGCCTGCCTCAGCTGATCCTTAGAAGCTGGCCTTCTGCCCTTGAGGGTGGGCCAATCTGAACCTTGCACCAGAAGGTACCCCTCCGAGGCTGGAGAGGTGGCACACACCTATAATCCCAGCATTTGGGAGGCTGAGGGAGGAGGATAGCTGTGAGTTCAAGGGCAGGCTGGGCTACATAGTGAGCTCAAGGCCAATCTGAGACACTGTCTCAAAAAAACAAAGAAAAAAAAAACGAAAAAGAAGGAGGAGGAGAAGGAGGAGAAGAAGGAGGTGCCCCTCCATCCACTAAAACTGGAGTCATTTCCCTATCTTCTCTCTCACTTTCCAAGTAAAGCTTTTTCCCTGCAAGATTGTATTTTAGCTTTAATTTCCATTGTCACTGAAAGCAAGGACCCACACTAGCTGGAGATGGAATAATAGAGGTGACTGCGAATGGGTAAAGGGTTTCCTTTTGGGATGATGAAAATGTTCTGGAGCTAAACAATGGTGATGGTTGTTTGACATCATATGTGTGTATATATATATATACACACACATTGTCATTGAACACTTTAAAATGGTTTAAATAATGAATTTTAAGCTGCAAATTTTACTACCAGGAAGAGGAGTCCCCCCTTCTGCACACCTAACTGCACTTGCTCATATGTATCCCTCCTCACTGGCACCAGCACAATACTGGGTCCTATCTTTCTTGAACACCATCACATTATATTACAAATTATTTGTCTTTGTAGGTGTCCCCCTACCAGACTATAAGCAATTTCAAGAAAAAAGCTATGTCCTCTTCAGATGTGTATCTCTGTCATCTTGCTTAGTGTTTGGCACACAGTAAGTCCCACAAATCATTGCTTAATAAATGAATGGACAAATTAGTCAAATGGACATGACCACACCACAAAAACTCACCCTTCTAGGAAAAGTGTTTCACTTCCCTGGGAACAGGGTTTTCATCTGAAATATACTGTGACTGCCTCTGAGCTAAAGCTCGTTCATTCCCAGGGGTCCCACTAAAACTCTGACCTCCCAGCCTCTGCCAGTCCTAACCTAACATCTGCTGGAGGTATAGTCCCCACGGCTGCAGCCTAAATTATCCAAACTGTTCTCAACAACTAAGCTCAGAACACTTCTGCTGAGTTACTCGCCAGCACAAAGCATTTTCTTTATGATGCTTTCATCTGTCCTCTGAGGTGTAAATTGCAAATCCTACAGTCTCACTCTACAGAAAGGTTGATTAAATGACTTCTCTAGGGTTGGGCAACAAATGCTGGGATAAATGATGGGTCAAATTGGAAAAGATTTCTGGGAGGGTCTCTGCTCCTGTGTTTGACTACGCATTTGTAGGTGTCAGGTTTAGGATTTCCCCAATATAACAACTACTAGGTTAAGGTTTGTAGATACTGTACAGTATTTTCCTTTAATGTGAGCTCCAATATATGTGGATATAAGGATGGGAGAGGGTTATTAGCTGTTTCCTCCACATTAGCCCTTCATACTCTCAAAGTGATTTTTAAATCATCTCTCTTCTCTCTTCTAAATTAACATTCACAGTGGTTTCATTAAAAAAAAAATTGAAAACCTACTTTGTGCCAGCAACTCTGGATTCTAGTATAATAAAATATATTCCCTCTCTCAAGGTTTGAGTTCATAGTCTTTCTGTAGGACTTGCTTTAAGTTCCTATTCTGATTCTAACCCAGCTTTATAAAGTGTGCTCTCCAATTTACCTTCTGGCAAAGATTTTTTACTAGCTTATTCTCTGTGCTTTTAATAAATGGGAAAAGTCAGTGTTAATCTCTTTTCGTGTTGTGCCAATGAACAGCAGCCTGTGGATAAGTTGGGATTGTTTGTGTCACACTGAAATCGCTTCAATTACCTGCAACGGAGCAACTCATTTTCACACGTGAAAGATACAGAATAGAAAGGAAAATAATTGCTTTCTGGCCATGAGTATAAAGTTCCAAGGGAACATCCTCTTCCTACACAGCATCCCCAGGCCTGACATTATGGAGACAGCTCATCTGGCTTCCCTGACACGAATGGGGCTTTTCTGGAAACCCCGCAGCCACCAGCTGTGCCCTGCAGTTCCCAGCCACTCTGTGCTGTTGCTGAGGGACCTGGCAGACAGAGCAAAGATGTGGATTTCTCTGTTATCCTGTCATCTAGGGCACTCAAGGAGATTGAAGTCATCGTTTCCTTTGCTGACTCAGCATCCTAGGAAGAAGGGCTGTCTAGGGCCCCTGATCTGCCTTTAAAAGGGCATGCTAGGATTCCAAACTAGGTTCTGCACATGCCTCCAAAATGCTCACTACTCAACCGCAAAATAGAGTCACACAGGAAAAGGGATAAAGAGGATCTTCACTGTAATAAAGATGTTTCTTTAAATTTTAGGGGCTAGGTTTTTCTACCTGGGGACAGTCTCCTAAGAGGGGCATATGTTAGCCCATCTGTCATTCATTAGGTTGGACCATGAGTGTTGTTGTTCTGCTGCTGGTTGTCAGCAAGCCATGGAAGAGTCTTCTTTGGATGTGACAATGACATCTCCCTCCTTTCAATGCCTCTTGGATTATGTGCTTGTATGTAACTGTATTAAAACTAAACACATGGGGCGGGAATTTAGCTCAGAGGTTCTGCCGCCTGCCTCGAAAGCACAAGGACGCGAGTTCAATCCCTGGTACTAAAAAAATCCCAAAAAACAAAAACCCCCAAACTAAACACATGACGGTAGGCACTGTCAGTCTTGCTTCTCACCATCTTAGTTTGTGTCTCCCCAGAAGCAGACCGTGGAACAAAGGTTTAACTGCAAGTAATTTGTTTGATGGATAAGCCCAGGACACAGTGGCTGGGGAGAGAGATAAACAAGGTAAGTTAGCTAGAAAAGAGTCATTCTAACTGGAGCTTAATCCCACTGGGGAACTCTGGGAAACAAGGTAGGACACAAATCTCAGAGGTATCTGAGGGAACCTGGGTGTTTATGTGCCAGTTTCCACTGATCAATGGTTGAGGGAAGCTCTTGAGAAACAATTGAATATCTTATCTGGAAAAAAGAAGCCTTAGTTCCTAACTCATTCCACACAGTTTAATGCAAGGATGATCATAGGCTAGGTAGAAAAATGGAAACCACAATGTTTCTAGAAGAAAGCCTTGAGAGAATATGTGTACAACTTTAGAGTAGGCAATGTTTTCTAAGGCAGATACAAAATATACTTTTAAAAAAGGTACCTGAACACTTAAGGAAGCACTTCATTAAAATTAAATATATTTGCTCTGAAAAACATTGTTAAGAAAATGGAAAGACAAATCACAGAATGGGAACATATTTTCATTATACATATCTAACAAAGGACTGGTATCTAGAATATATAAAGAACCCCTTTATAATGGGAAAAGATTTAAAAAGACATTTCATAGCATAAGATAAACAAATAGCCAATAAGACATTTGATAAGGGGCTCAACTGTATTCATCAGAGAAATGCATATTAAAACCACAATGAGAAACCACTATACCCCCACTAGAATAGCGAAAACTAAAGACAGCAATGCAACTGTCAGCAAGGGTGTAGAGCAGCTAGAACTCCCATATTTTCCTGATGGGGATGCAAAATGGTACGACTATTATGGAAAATTATTGGGCAGATTTTTTAAAAAAACTAAATTAGACATATCTCTCTAGGCTCCAAAAATTCTACTCTTAGGTACTTACTGAAGATAAATGACAGTGCATCTCTACAAAAAAGACTTGCATAAGAATATTCATAAGAGCTTGGGGGAAAACAATCCAAATGTCCAACAACAGGGGAGGAACAAGCAAATGGTGGGCTGGGTGGATAGCTCAGTAGTAGAGTGCTTGCCAGCATGGACAAGGCCCTATGTTCAAGTCCCAGAATTTTGAAAAACCAAAGCAAAACAAGCAAATTTTGAAATAGTCACACAATAGAACACTATTCATGTACAAAAAAGTAAACTACTGTATTGAGTTTGGAACTAAAAAAAAAATACACTGAGCAAAAGAAATAGGTACAAATAGGTACAGTCTGTGTGGTTTCATGTATATAGAGTCCTGGGACAGGAAAGCTAAGCTACAGTGATAAAAATTAGGCCAGAACTCACTTTCCAGGCCCGCTTCTGTCTCTCTGGGACAAAAGCTATCTGTCTCTCAATAAATATCTCCTACTCTTAAAAAAAAACGAGGCCAGGAGTTGCCCATGTGAGATGGAGTTTAGCTGGAAGGAGGCACTTACAAGGGGATGTAGGAGTCTGGGGGAAATATTTTATATCTTGTTTTTTGGGGGTTTTTTTGGTACCGGGGATCAAACTCAAGACCTTGTGCTTTCGAGGCAGGTGGCAGAACCACTGAGCTAAATCCCCGGCCCCTATATCTTGTTTTAGATGTGGTACATAAGTGGATATAGGTATCAAAATGTGCCTAATTGAACATTTGAGGTATGTGCTTTTTATTGTATAAAACTGTGCCTTAATGTCAGGAGCAGTTCTACATCATTTTGGGGGAAAAGTCATTTGATTAGGCCTAGTTCTCCTGCCTACAGGCCAGCTATGGGATTTCGAGACAAAGGTCCATTTTGGCCTCCGGTCACAGATAAGTCTTAAGTGGTCGGGTGATGCTGTGATGCTCTAGGACAAAATTACACCAGCTGAAGACATCCTGGGGGAACAAAATCGTCATCTACTCAGTTTCTCCCTGTTCTTGGATTTCCGCTGGCCCCCAGTCATTTGTTACATCTTGTCTATCCCGATGTACTGAACTCTCTGCAAGTCATTTGTTACATTTTTTTCTCCCGATGTACTGAATAAAAGGTGTGGTAAGCTCCCAGGCTTTCGTCTTTGCCCAGAGCAGCACTGATCAAGCCCAAAACTCAGAGTCTTAAAGTCTTACTTTTTCTACCTTTCCTGTGTAATAAGTTAATTCGCCTTGTGCAGCCATGGCTAACAGGAGACTAGGACTTACTGCAGAGGTTCTAGTAACGTCCCCTTTCCCTTTTCCCTACACCTTAATAAATAGAAAACACACTGGCCATTAAAAACATGGAGTAATTTGCTGGATGTTCTGCCCCTCACTAGAATGTAAGCCTTCAGAGGGCAAAGCTCTTCTGGTTTGTTCTCTAAAGTAATCTCACCTAAAGATCTTACACTGTTGGGTCCTGTTAAGTGTCATTAATATTTTAAGTACACATGAGTCTCATGCATTGAGCTGTGGCTTTATCATAGCTCCCTCCACAGACATGACCTGTTCTTGCAGACACTGATGGCCCCAGAAGCTCAAGTGCAGGTGCCATTGTCTAGAAAGGGAGCTTGCAGGTGCGAACCCAGCAGGGCCCTGGGTGTCCTTGGGCACTGACAGGGTCCCAACTGTGAGCACCATCTGCTCCTGTGAAGGGTGTCTGACAGCAGCTGCACCCCTGGACCTGGAAGGTGAGTGCCTCTGAGACCCAAGGTCAGGTTCCTGTTCCCATCCTCCCTCTTTGTAGCTGGCCCATGGAAAGTCGCTTTAGCCCTGGAAACAGAAAGTACCAATGTGCATACCACTTTGCAATTTACCAAGGGTTTTTTTTTTAACGTGTTATATTTTATCCTTTTAATGACCCTGTAAAACAGTTGTTTCATAACCCTATATTTCAGGTTAAGTCACTTCCTCAAGGTCACACAGCTGGCAAGTGACAGACCTTAGATTCAAATCAAACTTTTAACCATTTACTACTATATTAAGTGCAGTAGTGCTGTGTCATTTAAGGACCTTCAGAAGCTGTTTCTGACTCCTTCAGTAAGCTTTAATGGACTAATGAAAAGATATGTAGCAAATCCCTCTTGCTTTTAATCCAGTTTATCCCATATGCCCCTGAGAGATAAACCTGGCTGGACCACCACTAGGATAGTGTCACTCCTCTGTGCAAATTTTCCACATTTCCTTACCACCTACCAAGTCAAATCCATGCTGCTTAGCTACTGTTGAATGCTCTTTTGCCCCAACTCACCTTTGTAGCCTCATTTTCCTTAAAAAATAACTTCAGAGGCTAGGAGTATAGCTCAGTGGTAGAATGTGCTCTTAATATGTAGGAGGCCCTGAGTTCAACCCCCGGCACCACCAATAAACAAGAAACCTTTACATTCCAGCTAGTTATGTCATTATCCTCATTCTAAAACTTTCCTCCTTGGGCTAGGGATTTAGCTCAGTGGTTCTGCCGCCTGCCTTGCAAGCGCAAGGACCCGAGCCCGTACCAAGAAAAAAAAAAACAACAAACTTTCCTCCTTGGTTTCCCTTCCACATGGAATACCAGTTTCTCCTTCCTTTGGGATGCTTTCTCACTGTTCAGGTCCTAACTCAAATGTCACTGCACTCCCTGTTGGTAGATTTTCACTTTATCTGAAACTTTAGAACACATGACATTACTTGTCAGGTATCATGAGTATATTTGTATCTTGCTTTATCATCCTTATTAGATCCTAATTTCCTGGAAGTTAGATGTATGTATTACCCATTTCTATTATCAAATGCTGACTTGCTTAATTATTTGCGTGCTGTAGATAATTTGATGCTTTATAGAGTAAGTTACCATCTTTCCAAACCATCATCTATACATAGTACCCTTTGGTATGTATAATTAAAAAAATTGTTTGCATTTGAATTGTTTCATGTATTTGGTTAACACAGCCTCCACATTCTGTTTACTTTGCTTCTGACTTAACACAGACTTTATGAATACTTAAATGCTTTGCAGGTGGGGCTGACACATGGAGAAATAGGGGAGTCATCCACAGTTCTACTCTGGCTCTGCCATTAACTGGCTGTGTAACCTTAGGCAAATCATATCTACTCTCTGGACCTTATTTTGCCTCTGTATATTTCATGGGTGTAATAATACCTTTTTTTATTCTTTAATTTACCGCAAAGTTGTTGGGAGAATAAATGAAATAACAGATGTGGAAGTGCTTCGTCGACTGTAAATCATCTAGCATCTTCTTTCAGTTGCACCTGCTGTTTGATGAAGGCACACTTTTTGTTGCTAGCAGCCCCCTACCCATCTGCTTCTCTCCTGTGAAAAAAGGGTGGTCTGGAAGGAGTATTTCACGGGGGCAGGATGAGAAAGAAACCACATTTGTTGCATGGCCAGTGGAACTGGGGCTGTGCTGTGGTGTATTTGAGGTATCATCTGAAAGACTGCTGCAAAAAGGAAGACCACAGAACCAGCGTAGGCCCCGGGTGCAGAACTACCAGGGAGTCAGCTGTTCGGCATATTTTTCAAGTCAGAGCTGCTGGACAACAAACGGCATGCGCAGCTTGAGGGAAGGTGAGGGTCCCAATGCTGAAGCACAGAAAGCTAAAGCTACTACCATTTATAAGCACGAAACCTCACTTCAAGGAAGAGGTTGAGATCACCCCTACTGGATACCAAGAGTCAGGTGAGGCCATGGGGCCGGAGGCGCCCCCTGCAGGAACATTTCTGGCCTGCCCATTGGCTTCCATGAAGGAGGAAGGTGGACCTTGGGTAATTTTGCTTCCTGATTGGGTAGCTAAGAAGATTGGCAGGTCCCAGCAGGCTGAGCCTGAGGGCGGCCAGACATGGCGGAAGCGGGAAAAGTGCCTGCGAGCCTCGGGGTTCCAGGAGGAGACGCGGTTCAGTGGCCTTTGCAGCGCTATGGCCGCTTCATGCTCTCGGAGGCCAGAGAGCTGTCTGAGTCTGGCCCTAAAGCTGGGGCAGTGCCCTCACCTACGTGGAAGGTAAGGCCTAGGGGCAGGAAAGACCGCCAGGCTCTCACACCCCAAGGAGTAAGGGAAGACTAGCCAGGGCCTCATTGGCACGAGGACAGGAGGAGAAGACGTGGAGGGACCTACAGGCTTGTTGAAGATGGGCAGGTCTACAGTTGACATAGGACGTGTGTGTGTGTGTGTATTACTAGGAGGCACAATTAGAGCCCATTAAATTCTCAAAATAATCATGCAAGGGAATAGTTAACATTCATATACAGGTATTCAGTAAATATTGAGCATCAAGTATGTGATAGACTCTAGTCAGTGCTGGGAATATAGCAGTGAATAAGGTATAAATAGTCTCACCTTCTAGTCAAGGATATAGTATCTACCCAAATAATTATAAATTATGGAAGGGAAGATTGAATTCACCAAGTGGTCATGCTCCTTGATAGTCCAGCTCACACAGGACTAAATTTGAATTCAATTTTATTTTTGTTTATGCATGTGCTGGGGATTGAATCTGGACCTCCAAAGTTCTAATATGCCCTGCCACTGAGCTACATTGGCAGCCCCAGGATTCTAGCGTTGCCTCTGAATTTCAGTGATCTTGATTAAGTCACTTAACCTCCTTGTATCTTATTTATCTTAAAGTAGAAATAATAATAGCTTAATATTGTCTCAAAATATAATAGAAGTGAAATAGATATTTATAAATAGAGAAAACAATCCTACTTCATAGGATTCTTTTGAATACTGAATCAGTAATAAATATATTATAGATAGAGCCTGATAAGTTATATAAGGTGTTGTTATTATATTGTTTTGCTGGTGTGTTGTATCATTCAGTTCTTGTGTTGACACTAGGGTTTTGGGTTACACACACACATATGTGCAAGTGTGTGCTCTTGTGTTTGTGAGTTTTACATAGCATTAGCTAGAAGAGTAAAAGAAAGAATATTCTAGGTAAAAGACACAACATGCAGAAGGGACCCACACCCAGAAAAACTTCCACACATACAATATAGAGGCCAGTAGGCTGGTGTTTAGAAAACAAAGGAAATGATAGCATGAGATGGAGCTGTCTGGAAGTCGTTGGTGCCTTGTGAACATCATCTAAAAACCAGTGGGAAGCCACTGAGAGGTTCTAAGCAGGAGCAGTTTTCATCTCTGAAAGTATCATTCTGAGTTCAGTGTGTAGATGAAATTGGAGAGGAGAATGAATGGATTCGGAAAAGTCACTTAGAACACTGTTGCAATGTTGTAGGCCAGAGATGACATGGGCTAGACCTAGAGGATGATAGTAGAGATGGGAAAATTGTGCATACATTTTGGAGGCTAAAAATGGCAAGGCTTGGTGATTGATTGGATATGTGTGGTAAGAGTAAAGGAGCAGGGCTGGGGATTTAGCTCAGTGGTTCTGCTGCCTGTCTCGCAAGTCCAAGGTCCTGAGTTTGATCCCCAGTACCAAAAAAAAAGAGTAAAGGACCAACTAGGTACATGGTTGTAGAATGGAAAACACTGGAGGAGGAAGTGAGGGAAAGATCTAACATTCCATTTGAGGATACACTGAGTTTAATATGTTTATGAAGCATCCACATGGAGACATTGGCTAGACAGTAGGGTATACTGTTCTGGACTCAAAAGTCAGATCTAGGTTGGAGATGTGAAGGTGTGAGTAAGCAGTATAATAAGAGATACTTACAGTCGTGGGGTTCTGTGAGATTACAGGACCATGGCCCAACGTAATCCAACATCTGTAGGTCAAGTAGAGGGTTAGAGTTGGGAAGCCCTGAGGAGAATGAAGGTCCATCAGTGCTATGAGAGTTATTTCAAGAGGGAGAGATTGATAAATTGTGGAATAAGCTGTAAACTGAAGAAAGATAACGGCTGAGGAGTGCTAATTCTATTTAGCAGCATGAAGGTCCTTAATGGTCTTTACCAAGAGAAGCTGCAGTGGAATGAAGGGAATAGAAGCTAATTAGGAGTGGGCTGAAGAGTGACTGATAAGGGGAAGAGAGGAGGCAAAGTGCCTGGACAATTCTGAGAGGCTTGGCAGTGAAAGTGAGCAGAGATAGAGCAGAGTAAATTATTCATCACATTCTAGAATATTAAAGGCTACTCTTTAAGGCTTGAAATCAATATATCTAGGCCCATTTTAAAAAGCATTAACTAGTCACGCTTTTGTGGAATTTGGTATCCTAAGAAATTATATAAGCTGAAAATGCAGACTAGGGTAAGAAAGAGTTAAATTCAAGGATGATGGCTCCACAATTGGATGTTTATAAAAAGCTGGGGATGTTTGAGGACACTGAACTTTTGAGACTAGTCCAGTAGATCTCTCGATAAATTCTCTTAACACTGTTTAAGCCCTTTTACCTAGGGCATCTGTGTTGGCTATGTTGGCTCAGGTGCAGCCAAGTAAGTCAATGTTGTATTGCAACTCGGGGGCTATGTATATTTGACCATCTTAAGCAGTTGATTTTCTTTCTTTTTGCAAAGCTTTTCATAATTTCTTTAAGGAACAGGACTTTTCAACAGTTTTCAAGTGTTTGGCAAAAAGCCATGGCCACAGTGACAAGAGATGAGGTTGGCTTTTGCAGAGCTTTTGAGAACTGAACATTTGTACCTTCCTTTGAATCTCTGCCGAGCCATCCTGCCTGCTGTGATCAGTTTCAGCCTAGGTCTGTTTTTTTTTTTTTTTCTTGAAAAGTGAAAGAGAAATAAGATTTGTTCTATTTTATGAGCACTGTGACTATTGTGCAATACTAATAATAATAAAAGATGAGCCATCTAAAGAACTATACTAAGTCCCATGTGAATTCTTATTTTAAAAAAGATGTGGGGCCTGCAGTACAAATATGTTAGGTAAGGCACAAAAATATATTATGGTGGAGGATAAAGTCATTCTTATAGTTTTTTTTTCTCTCTCTCTAGGGAACTTTCAAATTCAACCTTGTTTAAACCTATTTTGATTTTTTTCTGAAATTATAGAGAGAATCTGTTCTGGTTCTGTACTGTTTAGTTGCTTAATTACAGAAAAGACTTTCATCACTGTGGCCATATGCTAAGACAAAACTGTCAACCCAAGAGAAAAAAATGAGCAGTACAACAAGACTTCTAAGACTTGAAATCTTAGTTGAGAAAATATGAGCCATAAAATTTGTATATGTAATATAACAATATGTATACTGATTTAATTTACCTCTCTGAATTCAGTTATTATTAAGAGTCAGTATCTAGAGAGAAATTAACAATTAGGAAGCAAATAAACTTTTTTTTTTAACAGCAAAGAAGAAATAATAAAAGTGGGACAAAAAGTAACATTTTACAGCTATGCTACCCAGACTTCAGTATGCATAGAAATCTGGGGATTTTGTTAGCTGTGTAGATTCTAACTCAGTTGGGTTGATTTGGTGTGGGATGTGGGCTTCTGAAGTTCTAACAAGCTCTCGGGTAGACACAGATGCTGTTGATTTGGGGACCACACTCAGAGAGGCAGGAGTTCAGCAGGCCTTGAATGAAGTGGGCAGCAAAATGAAGTATAACATAATTAACAAATGAATGTATGGAGTTCTGATGTAAGTTAATCAGATTTGTAATGAATATGCAAACATTTTATTAATAGGGTTAATATTTAAATCATCTGTCATTTAAATGGATGAGCAAATGAAATACAAACTTGAACTTGATTTTAGTTCCTTACATCTGTTGGCCCAGCCTTTCTGAAAAGATTATCATAATAACAGATTGGTCCATTTTATGTATTTTATATCTGAGTATAATTTATTCTACTAATTTGAGAATAATTTTGAAAGGTGATGTTAATTGCAGGTTGCTTTTAAATTAAGGTTTTACCATGTTTTTCAGATTCCAAGTATTTCTCGACGTGTCCTAATTGGTTGAACCTGACAACTTCTTAGTTTTTTTTCTTTCAAAGGGGAAAAAAATCATCCTTTAAGTTTTATAGGAGGAACTTAAAATAATTGCCCTACTTAGAAATTAAGAAATAGAATATGAAGTTTGTACTTGAGATGAACTTTTAAATGTAGGTTCAACATAAGATATACTTTGGATCCTCTCAACAGTGTTCTTTTTTTCTTTCATATTCCAAGTGCCTTTGTACTACCTAATGTATGAATAGGTATTCAGGAAGTGTTTGAACATGTGATATGGTAACTTTTCTTATGATAATGTGATATTATGAAATGGTAGCTACTATTTGTTTTGCTTTGTTTATAGCAGTCCTATGAAGCAAATGTTATACCCATTTTATGGATAAGTGAACTGAAACTCAGGTTCAGTGGCTTTTTTTAGGAACACAGACATACGTCGAGAAGAAAAAAATTCAGGTCTTGATTTTTCTGTATCTAAAGTTGTGCTTTTAAGTCGCCATGCTGCTTGCCTTAGAAGTGCTAATATTGCATACAGGGAATAATGGTTCAATCATGCGGAGGAGGAATTTTGAGATTAGCACACATGGTGAAAATGACAAAGATGACAGTTTTTTGTTTTTAGGAAAATTTAAGATTCAGTAAATCCCAAGACTTTTTTAAAATAATAAAATAGGGCTGAAGATGTAGCTCAGTAGTTGAGCACTTGCCTAACATGCTTGAGGCCCTGGGTTTGATCTCTAGAACTAACCAATCAATCAGTAAATGTATAATAGTTCTTCTTTGCATGCTTGATGAATTTTGACTGGATCTTTATTCTGAATTTTACCTTGTTAGGTACAGGATATTTTTTAATTTCTATAAATATTCTTCACCTTTTTTCTGGAGCTAGAAGAGGTTGGATCCTTTCAAGTCTTGCTTTTAAACTGTGTTAGAGTGACCAGAGCAGCATTTGGCTTAGATCTAGTTTTTTTTTTCTCACTCTCAAGGCAAAACTACTCAGAGAACTCTGCCAAATGCTCCACAAATTGAGGCTTTTCACTTTGGCTGCTTAGAATAGATGTTATTCCCGACCTTGTGTGAGCTCTGGGGAGTGCTTTTTAAATCCTTTCAGGTGGTTCTTCCCCAGGCTCTGAT